GGTATCTGGAGCAGTGGGAGCACTCACTATAATAGTGCACTCAAAAACCGCATCACCATCACAAGAGATACCTCAAAAAGCCAGGTGTCCCTGCAACTGAATAGCTTGAAGCCTGAAGATTCTGCCCAGTATTGCTGCGTAGGATGCACAGTGAGGGAAATTTTCTAAGATGCAGTACAAAAACATGACCTAGTTCTTCATGGGTTTGTGAACAACATTTGGAAAATAGCTCATTTATCATCCCATCTGTTTCCTCGATAACAAATCCATTGCTCACAGAGAATCACAAGCATTATATTCCATCATGCATCTCCCATCACATGATCAAGGGACAAGTGTGTCCCTCCAGAGTTCTCTATTCATCCCTTGGGATTCTACCCAGACCACTCCCCTCCCCCACCCTTTCTCTAGACAATGTACCTCACCACCCCACTTCATGCCCTCTTTGTTTGAGAGAGATCTCAGTTCCAAACTCAGTGGGGAAGTGAAGGGATAAGTCTTCCTTTAGGGAAGTGAAGGGATAAGTCTTCCTTTAGGAACAGCTTCCCAGGGTGGCAAGGGCAACCCAGTCAGATGGGATGGGTACAAATACGTTGTTGTTGTTGTTGTTGTTGTACTGAATTGGACTGTTTTGGTCCACCTGGCTCAGTTTTCTATACAGCAGCCTTTACCAGTCTTGTTTTCCAACATGTTGTTGGACCAGAACACCATTGTTTCTGACCACTGGCCATGCTGACCAGGAATTATGAGAGATAATATCTGGGGTGCAAGGTTGGGAAAGACTGCACTATACTGGCTGGCAATGCCTCCCCAGGTTTTTAGACTGGGGTCTCCCCCAGCCCTCGCTGAAAGTGCTAAGGGTGGAACATGGAACCTTCTGCATGCAAAGCACCCTATTACCAGATTCAGTATTAGGGATTTTTTCCCTCCAAAAAACAAAAAAGCTACATTTTGATAAATAAAATGTTCAGCTTTAAAAAGAACCAATTTCTGTTTGTGGGTATGAAATTCTATGGGCTTTTTGCAGTTCCACAGAAATTCCTAATGACACAAAGGCATAGTTAGAGAGCGGGGCACACTGGGTGCCACACCACTTACCACGGGGCCTGGCCTGTAGCCTGCCTGAGCCATGCATCTCTCCTGGGAGTGACGCAGTGGCTTGGGCACCTGCAGGCTCCATGTTGCCTGAAGCATCAGTGTGGGGCTCGCATCTGCCCACTGCCTCCACCTCAGTTGTATGGCAGCCGAGGGGGAGGCAGAGGGTGGACTGCATGCAAGCTCCGTGCTGCCTAAAATGGAATCGTGGGGCTTGCAGCTGCCTGCTGCCTCCCCCTCAACTGCCTTGCAAGGCTCCGTGCAGCATGCTGTCCCCTCAGAGTTCCCTATCATGCCCTGCCTGGCTCCGGCAGTGAGGGCTGGGTGAGTGTGAAAGGTGAAGATCATGCTCTGTGTCCCACCCCTGTTCTTCACCCCCTTTGCCCTTCCTGTGAGTGTCTACCCAGCGGTGTCAGTGGCAAAGACTGGAAGAGCGCACTCTGCCCCGGCCCAAGCTGCTGGTGAATGGCACTACGCCCCTGAGTAGCACAGCGGGCATCATGCAAATGGTGTGGCCTTCGTTATGCCTTTTAAATGGGGAACCATATGCAAAGAGTCTCATGGAGTACTTGATAAAGCCTCTTTCTGCTGTGGGTTTATCTTGTTTTTCACCCTTGGCCTTTTGAGTCATTCTTTTCCCAGAGAAGTCATTTAAAAAGACAGGGCTGGAGGAAGAGACAGAGAAAAAGATGACTTTACTACACCTACTTTTCATTCTATCAGCTTTGGGAGGTATGCTTCTTTGTACATTTTACAAGCAAAAGATATTCTGGAGATTGGCAAATAGTTCCGGGATGTATTTGAAGATGGGGAATTGAACAGCTGCTCCTTGTCGCAATTTAAGCATTTATTTATTTTTAATCCGTTACTCTCCTACTTTAATGCCCCCTTTTCAGGAGCCTATTCTCAGATGACTCTCACTCAGTCAGGTCTAGAAATCAAAAGGCCTGGAGACTCAGTAACGATCAAGTGCACTGTGAATGGCTTGAATGCTGCTATGGAAACGTTTTACATGGATTGGCTCAGGCAGGCACCCGGAAAGACGTTCGAAGGGTTGTCTCGGTTCAGGATACCAGGAAAAGAAGCTCAGCCTTCTGCATTCCGAGGTCGGTTCACAGCCTACAAAGACATAAACAGCTTCTACCTGGAGATGAACAACCTGAGAGAAGAGGACACTGCCATGTATTACTGTACTAAAGACGGTGCACAGTGAGAGAAAACCCTTCTGGGCTCATGTCAAAAACCTTCTGTAGTGTAGCCACAGAAAAATATTGGCTGGTGGCGGCGCTCGTGTTCCATTTTCATGCGCAATTGAACACAAGGGTTAAGCAGTAGAAACCATAACCGGAAGAGATGGTAGAGAGAGAAATCTCCTTTTTCACAGGAAGCAGGTGTCTGAATTCTCCCTTTCCAATGGAGGAACTGTTTTAAGGCATGAAGAAGAGAATCCTTTAAAATAGAAAATTATTCAAATGCATATTTATACTTTTATTTTAATATTTATATACATTCTTATTTCCCACGCCCTCTAAATATTTATTTCATTATATTTAAAGCTCCGAGACACACATTAGTGTGAAAGCTATTGGATAGTTCAGTTCTAATCTGCAAATTAAGGCTAGACATGCAGATCATGATATTCATTTTGGGAATTTGCCATGGGTTTGGTCCAGTGAATGGGGATTTGAAGCTGATTGTGTCTCTACTGTATGTGTAGCATCCATATGATTTCCTCCTCACACAAGTGGAATCCTGTACACACACACCCAAATTAGGATTTCCCTGATCGGCAAGTAACCAGATAAGGGAAGATAAATAAATAAACTTGCATATTACTTGTCTGAGGATGCACATTTGTGTGTATGTGTGTGTGTGTGTTTCTTACATATGTGGTGAAGTTTCCCTGGGTGCCATCCAACCTTATTTCCGTTCTGTTTGTGTCAACCCAAAGCAAAGAATGAAACTGGTTGTTGCTAAGGCAAATCTCCCCTCTTCCCCCTTAAAATAGTTCTTTTCATAGAATCGTAGAATTGGAGAGTTGCAAGTTACCCCAAGGGTCATTTAATCCAACCCTCTGCAATGCAGGAATTTCGACTAAAGCATCCATGACATGTGGCCATCCAACCTCTGCTTGAAAATTTCCAATAAAAAAGTCCAGCACCTTCCAAGGGAGTCCATTCCACTGTCAATCAACTCTTATAACCAGAAAGTTCTTCCTAATGCTTACTCAGAAGCTCCTTGTAACTTGAATCCATTGGTTTGGGCTACGCTCCAGAACAGGAGGGAACACGCTTGCTCCATCTTCCATGTGACAACCTTTAGATCAGAGCTTTCCAAACTTTTAGTGTTGCTGACACACTTTTTAGGCATGCATCATTTCACGACACAGTAATTCAGTTTTCCTAGCAAACAAGAGGTTAAACTAATCCCTTTCCAGCCCTGAGAGGAGTGTGGGGTTATTATTTTTTTAAGTGCTACTAAATTTCAGTGGCTGTTGTTCACAAGAGCCACAGAAACATCTGCTTGTGATAGCAACACATCAAGCATCAGCATTCAAAAGAATTTCCCCCCATGGAAAGTACACTTGGAAGGTATGCCATTTCCCATGATAGATTATCCGTGGAAACTATCAATAAGTTATGAAACATTATGTTTGGTGATTAAATGGCTTCTCAGTGCCATAATTTAAGGATTTTCTCTTGCTCCTTCAGAGGCCTAGGCTCAGGTTATTCTTACCCATTCAAGTCTGAATATCAAAAGACCTGAAGAATCAGTCCTGCTCAAATTGACTGTGAATGGTTTTGAAATAAGAAGCAATTATGATTCCTTTTCTCCCACAATTGAAAGGTGATAATCTCCCCCAAAGACAGCTCCAGCTTCTACCTGCAATGAGCACTCACACTTTACACTCTGGGTGCTCTTTGAGGGATTGCATATGGTGCTTCAGACCCCAGGGAACCTACCGGTTGTGTGGGCTGGCCTGCCTCTGAGTGTTATTATTTGGAGGTTCACGCCCAGCCTCAGTTAGTCAATTTACACTGCTAGGAGGTGGGGCCAGTTGCATAAATAGAGGGTGGAGCCAGCAGTAGCCAGGCAGTCGGCTCAGGAGCTTCACCCACCCAACCCTCCCTTTGTTTAATGTTTCTTGTTTGCAGGTTAACCTTTTTCTTCCTGTTTAGCGGGCGCTGCTACGGTCTTTTGACTGGTTGTTGTTGAAGAACTGGGAATAGATTTTCCTGCATTGGCAGGTTTTGACTTTTCCATAGCAATTCGTCACAACTTTGACAGTTTGGGCAGAATCCTTTTGTCTTTTCTTCCCTGAAATTGGGGGGGGGGGTGGTGACTCACCCCCCCCTCCCATGGCGGTGATTCCAGGGTTCCCTCTTAAAGGGGTTGTAATATGGATGTCACCGGCCATACACTGAAACGTTGTCAATGAATTACCCTGTGTGAGGATATGGGGTGGGCTGCCAGCATGCACATGCATCTTGCAGAGCACCCCCATATCCCAATTACCCTGAGAAGCCCCAGTTCCCCCAGCTGGGGAAGGCTACACACCCAATGCCTAAGCCAAGGTCTTCCTACATTTGAGAGTTTAATAAAGTTGTGGCCAAATTTTAATTCCATAACATGTTGTCAGAGTCATTATTAATTTCTGGTGGTCCCTGGGGGCTGGAGGAGGAAGAGGAAGAGGAAGAGGAAGAGGAAGAGGAAGAAGAAGAAGAAGAAGAAGAAGAAGAAGAAGAAGAAGAAGAAGTTGTTAATGTGGAATTGTGTTGTGGGAGCTATGATATGGACTGATGGTGTCTTATATAGCAGAGGATATGCAAATATTGATTCAGTCCATTCTTTAAAACTCCCTCCCTCCTGCCCTAGACTTTGATCTTGCAGAAATAACCATAGTTCCCTTGTAGCTCCAGTCCTTCTAAGGAGAATTTCTCTGGAAACCATCTAATAAAAATGATTACTTGGATCCATCTCCTCTTAACTCTTTCAGCTTTCAAAGGTAATTCCTCCCTTTTGTTGCAATGATATGACTTGGACTTGCTGAGAATGTATTCAGGGAGATTTGTAACTTTGTCCCTTTTCCTAGGTGTTTTGTCAGACATTTCTCTGGTAGAAAATGGAGGAGACCTGAAAAGGCCTGGAGATTCTCTTCGGCTTATGTGTACAACATCAGGCTTCAGTATAGCCAGCTACTGGATGAGCTGGGTCCGTCAGGCTCCAGGAAAGGGGCTCGAGTGGGTGTCCAGGGTTTCAGGAAGTACCACATATTATGCAGATTCTGTTAAAGGCCGATTCACAACTTCCATGGATATGTCCAATCAGTGGATTGATCTGCGTATGACAGGCCTGAAAGCTGAAGACACTGGAATGTATTACTGTGCGAGAGATCACAGTGGTGCAGAGTGAATCTGAGCTCTGAAAAATACCCATGGTGAAGCTGGCAAGGTTCCCTGGAGGGTTATTTATGGATCAGTCATTGAGATCTTGTTTGGAAACTCAGCAAAACATCATGTCATTATAGTGTTTCTAACACCCCTTTGGGACTTCTGATCTGCTTCAGTTTTGTTTGACCAATTTTTTAAAAAATCCTGCTTCTTGTCCAAAAACCTTCTGCAGTAGAAAGCAGAGTGTTCCGTGTATTCGGGCAACTAAGGACAATGACCTAGGAATAAAAACCACACACACACACACACACACACACACACACACACACACACAGTAGAAAGCACAGCAGGATGAGAGAATAAAAATAAAATTTTGCCACAAGAAGCAGATGTCTAGCATCTCCTATTTTGACAGAAAAGCTGCTACTGATGCAGGAAGAAGAAAACCACAAGAAACAACTAGATGAAGAAATCTCTTACTAGTTCAGAGGACTTTTTGCATGGTTTTACCCAGGGGTAGGAAACCTAAGGCCCGGGGGCCGGATGTGGCCCAATCGCCTTCTCAATCCGGCCCATGGACAGTCCAGGAATCAGCATGTTTTTACATGAATAGAATGTGTCCATTTATTTAAAATGCATCTCTGGGTTATTTGAGGGGCATAGGAATTCATTCATTATTATTTTTTTCAAAATATAGTCCAGCCCACCACATGGACTGAGGGACGGTGGACCATCCCACAGCTGTAAAAGGTTGCTGACCTCTGGTTTTACCAGTAACCCTATTCTATTGTGAACCCACATTCAATTGTGTGTGCTTGTTTCCAAAGACAGAGTAGTTCAGAGTCCTGGATTCCAGCCAGAATGGTATGATGTCCTATCTCTGCTAATACATATGTACATTGCAGGGCAGGTGCAGGAGGAGATGTGGAATTGATGCTTTTGGTGCCTCATAGATGTGGGTGACGTTGTGATCTAAACCACTGAGCCTCTTGGGCTTGCCGATTGGAAGGCCAGCAGTTTGAATCCCCACAATGGGGGTGAGCTCCCATTGCTCGGCCCCAGCTCCTGCCAACCTAGCAGTTCGAAAGACACCACTGCAAGTAGATAAATAGGTACTGCTGCAGCAGGAAGGTAAACAGCGTTTCCGTGTCTCTGGTTTCCATCATGGTGTTGCCCCAGAAGCAGTTTAGTCATGCTGGGCACATAACCCAGCTCCCTCAGCCTGAGGTGAGATGAGCACCACAATCCCATAGTCGCCTTTGACTGGACTTAACCATCCAGGGGTCCTTTACCTTTCTAGTCAGATCCTGGAGGTTTCTCCTTTATTAGTGGCATTTGTGCTATCATGCAAATGATTCTTAGTTTTGGACTTCATTAAAGGAAACAGAGCATGCAAAGTTTCTCAGTAGAATACAACTCCCCTTCAGGTCCTGTGAGTTATCGCCAACCATTCAAGTCATGGAATTAATACTCTTGACCATATCCCTAACGATCTTCCCAGCATGTAAGGAAATTCTGCAAGCAATTGATTCCCTGTATATTCATCTTCTTCTTAATTCTTCCTTATTTTTCCCCTCCTGATACAGGTGTGTTATCCCAGGTTACCATTACAGAGTCTGGTGGTGGTGTCAAGAGGCCAGGAGAGACCGTGCAACTGACCTGTACAGTGTCTGGATTTTCTGTAGCAAGCAGTCTGATGGATTGGGCCCACTGGGCCCCTGGGAAAGGTCTAGGGTGGAGTGGACGAATCTGGTCCAATGGAAATGTGAACTATAACAGTGGTCTCCAGGACCGTATCACCATCACAAGAGACACCTCAAAAAACCAGGTGTTCCTGCAACTGCGTGGCCTGAAACTGGAAGATTCCGCCACGTATTACTGTTCAAATAACACACTGGGAGAAAATGTCTCTCACAGGCCGTGCAAAAACTACTCTTCTGGAAAACCAGTGATATGTGTATTTTTGTGCACTGCAGCTGGAAAGGGAACCCTCTTTAGACATTTCATTTCCTGAACCACTGGTGCATTCAATTCCACAGTATCCTTAATGCAATAGCCTTGCTTTAAACGCAGCAACCTTGAATTCCAGAAGTATGTTCCTATCAAAATTTGTAATCATCAATGATAATTTATGTACGTACATAATGACATTCTGCATAGCTAACAGTTTTCGGGGAATTCTATGCCTCCCACGGTGGCAGCAAGAAGCAGAGAAAAACAAAGAAGAGTTCTTACCACTTAGTTTATTCACTAATCACAGCGGGGGACAAAAGAATGCAGTTTCTCTCTCACTAATGACGTTGTTCCAAGTAAAGCCGCACCCCCTACGTCCTCCTATTCTACGTCATCCCTTTCTAATGTGTCAGCTAGCTGTTCTGGCTCTGCTGCTTCCCCTCCTCCCCCCTTCCATTATCTCCCAGCTCTGTCCTTCTGTCTCAGAATCATGACCTTATGCAAATCACCATTGTAAATCTATACTGTCCTTCTCTTCTCTGGAAGGTTCAGGAGGGGTGAGGTGGCCTCCACCATTCCTCTTCAGTCCAGTCCCTGACAATAGCCATGAAGTTGCATGGATCTAAATTGTGTTGGCATGTGTGTGTGTGTGTGTGTGTGTGTGAGAGAGAGAGAGAGAGAGAGAGAGAGAGAGAGAGAGATGGACAGACAGGCAGGCAAGCAGCAGGCAGGCAGACAGATATACAGACAGACTCCAGCCCCCACAGTCCCCATGCTGACGAGAGCTGATGAAAGTTGTAATACAGTCTGGATAGTTGGTTAAAACATGGTGCTGATAATGCCAAGGTCGCACGTTCAATCCCCTTATGGGACAGCTGCATATTCCTGCATTGCAGAGGATTGGACTGGACGATTCTCAGGGTCCTTTCCAACTCTACAATTCTGCAATTCTATGAAAACATCTGGATGACACCTGGTTAGAGAAAGCTGCTTATATGTGTCCACACCAAAGACCTAGGAGTACATGTCAATACCAGATATTTTGGAATTACCAAGACAATTCCAATCATAGTTACTTGGAAAATCACTGGGAATCTGATATAAGATAGACACACAGTAGAAATGTGGGTCTTGCTAACAGTACCAGTCACCACATGGAAGTAGAGGACGTTCCAGATCTTTTACTGCTGTAGAAGTAGTAGTCTCAGGCTCAGCAAACAGCTTGAAAATATATTCTAGCTTGTAGGCTTTTCAGATACAGATATATACAGATACAGTATGCATAGGGTTGCCATATGTCTGGAATTTCCCAGACATAGCTGGAAAACTGCAGCTTCAAGCAGTGTCTGGGTGAAATGTCTGGGTGAAATGTCTGGGAAAATCCATACGTCTAGCAGCCCATGTAAGCAGTGTCGATTTTGCTGATTCCCATTGCACCATAGGAACCATATCCTAGGGGCTGATGTCCCTTCACACCCCCCTTCCATAAAACGTTTTAGGAGGCCAGACTCCCTGAAGTTGATGGGCATTGCCATTCAAATGTTGCGTGTGCACCACATGATATGATTGATCATGTGGGCTGGGGCATACCTACAATATTTCAGCCAAGTTGACACCCCTGCTATCTAACTAGCTAGAACCGCACTTTCTAGAGCTGGATCAACATGACAATGCACATGACAAGGCACAGAAAACCAGGGGATCCTGCTGGTGCATTCCCTCAAGCATGAAAACATTGTCCTGTGCTATTGTGCAAGAGACCTGCTCTTAAGTGGGGTGGTGGTGCTCCAAGTCTGCTAAAAAAAAAACCACCCTCTCCCTCCCCCGCAAGTGATCAGCCATTAACATCTGTGTGTGCCCAGGCATGTTGAATTTACCTCCCCTGAGAGAAGCACACAGCTGGTTTCTCTAGTCCCCTGTTAGCCTTTATGTACGAGAATTCAGCATTGTGAGCATGGGGCAGCACAGTGGTTTTCCTCTGCACAAAAACCCAGGAGGTCAAAGAACCATGGAAAGCTGCAGCTGATAGCTACAGACAAATGCACTTTGGTAGGGTTATGACAACCTGGGAGGCTTTAAAATTTGTGGAGGGTAAGGCTATCAATGTCTACACCTTGCAGTGGTTATGCTCTCCCTCTCCCTCTAAGAGGCTATAGGCCCCTGCATACCATTTGCTGGGAATCACAAGTAGAGAAAGGGCTATTTCATCCATGTCCTGCTTGTGAGGATCCCATAGATCTCATTGGTTGGTCACTGGAAGACACAGTATTTTGATAAACCTCTGAAGCATGACAAGCCTCTTCTACTCAACAGTTCTTGTGGAGCTGGATAGATCTGTCTCATGGGTCAAAATCTGGTAGTTTCCCTCACCCATCACTGCTCCATTGCAATGAAGAACAGCTTCATACCTTTCACTTGAAGTTCCCAATTATGATATGATACCATATCTTTATTGTCATTGTCCCATACAGAACACTGAAATTGAAAAATCTACATAAGACATTTAAAAACCCCTAAAAACTCTGAAATCCCATTTTAAAATACAATATACGGTACTATAGAGACTCTTTATACTGTGTTTAGAACTAAAATTGCATTTGGGTAGAAGCTGTTTCTCAGGCGGCTAGTCCTGGTCTTTATAACCCTATACCTTCTTCCAGAAGGCAAAAGCGGAAAGAGATCAATTAATTGTCCCTCGTGTGCATTTCTGATGGTTGAAGTTCATTTGGATATCCCACTTGGAAAACATTAGCATTTTGGCCTTCTCTCCACTGCCTGCCACCCTTTTCATCTTAGCTATGCCTCACCCCGCCCAGAATATGTAAAACTCATACACTCTCACTTCCTTTTAAAAGGCCAACTTTTCTCCTCCTCAGGAAAAAAGTAACAACACACAAAGATTTCCTGGAACCTGCTTCAGCTACCAGTAGGGTTCCTTGTTTCAGTGTTCACAATGTTCTGGCTATTGAGTTCCTTCATCTTCATAACTGGGCTTTCTTGTAAGTAAATTTTTCAGCAGATATTTTTGAGAAAGCAATTGCATTTTGGTAGCATTTATTTTAGCAAAAT